AGACATACGATAGACCAATAATTTATTCATACCTTCACTTTTTATGTATATCTTGCAGTAAAAAAGTTTGGAAAAAAAATGCCCCGGGCAAGTTGAAAATAGCCTGAGGGATCTTGTAAACAGTGACACTTGCAGGAAATTCTTTGCTCAATTCCTGACGAAGATACCTCAGTTACATATTAAACAACACGAAAGGATTGATACATGCCCCTATCTGAAAAATATTTGAATATTTTAATTTTTGGAAATTGTCATTTTTTATTTTTTGACAAATACCTTCATTTTGAAAAGTTGGAGCAAAATGTTTGTTGGTGGGACATGACATACAAAAGACCAATATATTATTCGTACCCTCAGTTTTTTTGTATTTCTTCCAGGAGGAAAGTTTGGAAAAAAACGCCCCAGGCAAATGGAAAATAGCCTAAGGGATCTTGAAAACAGTGACACTTGCAAGAAATCCTTTGCTCAATTCCAGGCCCTGATAACTCAGTTACATATTAAACAACCCCAAAAGATTGATACATGCTCCTATGTGAAAAATATTTGAACATTTCAATTTTTGGGAATTGTCATTTTTGATTTTTTGACAAATACCATCCTTTTGAAAAATAGGAGCAAAATGTTTGTTGCCGGGACATGATAAAGAAAAGACCAATATATCATTCGTACCCTCAGTTTTTGTGTATTTCTTGCAGTAAAAAAGATTGGAAAAAAAATGCCCCGGGCAATTGGAAAATAGCCTGAGGGATCTTGAAGACGGTGACACTTGCAGGAAATTCTAGGCTCAATTCCTGGCCCAGCTTACTCGGTTACATGTTGAGCGACACCAAAAGATTGATACATGTTCCAATCTGAAAAATATTTCAGTATTTTAATTGATGGAAATTGTCATTTTTGATTTTTTGACAAAAACGATCCTTTTGAAAAATACTCGCAAAATGTTTGTTGCTCGGACATGATATAGAAAAGACGAATATATTATTCGTACCCTCACATTTTATGTATTTCTTGCAGTAAAAAAGTTTGGAAAAAAAATGCCCCGGGCAAATGGAAAATAGCCTGAGGGATCTTGAAAACGATGACACTTGCAGGAAATTCTAGGCTCAATTCTTGGCCCAGCTAACCCAGTTACATATTAAACAACCCCAAAAGATTGATACATGACCCTATCTGAAAAATATTTCAATATTTAAATTTTTGGAATTGTCATTTTTTATTTTTTGACAAATACCGTCCTTTTGAAAAATAGAAGCAAAAAGTTTGTTGCTGGGACATGACAAAGAAAAGACGAATATATTATTGGTACCCTCAGATTTTGTGTATTTCCTCCAGGAGAAAAATTTGGAAAAAAACGCCCCAGGCAAATGGAAAATAGCCTAAGGGATCTTGAAAACAGTGACACTTGCAAGAAATCCTTTGCTCAATTCCAGGCCCTGATAACTCAGTTACATATTAAACAACCCCAAAAGATTGATGCATGCTCCTATCTGAAAAATATTTGAATATTTAAATTTTTGGAAATTGTCATTTTTGATTTTTTGAAAAACACCTTCATTTTGAAAAATAGGAGCAAAAGGTTTGTTGCGGGGACATGATATAGATAGGAACAATATATCATTCGTACCCTCAGTTTTTGTGTATTTCTTGCAGTAAAAAAGTTTGAAAAAAAATGCCCCAGGAAAATGGAAAATAGCCTGAGGGATCTTGAAAACGGTGACACTTGCAGGAAATTCTTTGCTCAATTCCTGACCGAGATAACTCAGTTACATATTAAACGACACCAAAATATTGATACATGCTCCTATCTGAAAAATATTTCAATATTTTAATTTATGGATATTGTCATTTTTGATTTTTTCATAAATACCGTCCTTTTGAGAAATAGGAGCAAAATGTATGTTGCGGGGACATGACATACAAAAGACCAATATATTATTCGTACCCTCAGTTTTTTTGTATTTCTTCCAGGAGGAAAGTTTGGAAAAAAACGCCCCAGGCAAATGGAAAATAGCCTAAGGGATCTTGAAAACAGTGACACTTGCAGAAAATTCTTTGCTCAATTCCAGGCCCAGATAAGTCAGTTACATATTAAACAACCCCAAAAGATTGATACATGCTCCTATGTGAAAAATATTTCAAGGTTTCAATTTTTGGGAATTGTCATTTTTAGCAAAATGTTTCTTTCCGGGACATGATGTAGAAAAGACCAATATATCATTCGTACCCTCAGTTTTTGTGTGTTTCTTGCAGTAAAAAAGTTTGGAAAAAAATGCCCCGGGCAAATGGAAAATAGCCTGAGGGATCTTGAAAACGGTGACACTTGCAGGAAATTCTAGGCTCAATTCCTGGCCCAGCTAACTCGGTTACATATTAAACGACACCAAAAGATTGATACATGCTCCTATCTGAAAAATATTTCAGTATTTTAATTGATGGAAATTGTCATTTTTGATTTTTTGACAAAAACGATCCTTTTGAAAAATACAAGCAAAATATTTGTTGCTGTGACAAGACATACAAAAGACCAATATATTATTCGTACCCTCAGTTTTTTCGTATTTCTTGCAGTTAAAGAGTTTTGGAAAAAAAATGCCCCAGGCAAATGGAAAATAGCCTGAGGGATCTTGAAAACGATGACACTTGCAGGAAATTCTAGGCTCAATTCTTGGCCCAGCTAACCCAGTTACATATTAAACAACCCCAAAAGATTGATACATACTTCTATCTGAAAAAAATATTTCAATATTTTAATTTATGGAAATTGTTATTTTTGATTTTTTCTCAAATAACATCCTTTTGAAAAATAGAAGGGAAAAGTTTGTTGCTGGGACATGACAAAGAAAAGACCAATATATTATTGGTACCCTCAGATTTTGTGTATTTCCTCCAGGAGAAAAATTTGGAAAAAAACGCCCCAGGCAAATGGAAAATAGCCTGAGGGATCTTGTAAACAGTGACACTTGCAGGAAATTCTTTGCTCAATTCCTGACGCAGATACCTCAGTTACATATTAAACAACCCGAAAGGATTGATACATGCCCCTATCTGAAAAATATTTGAATATTTAAATTTTTGGAAATTGTCATTTTTTATTTTTTCATAAATACCGTCCTTTTGAAAAATAGGAGCAAAATGTATGTTGCGGGGACATGACATACAAAAGACCAATATATTATTCGTACCCTCAGTTTTTGTGTATTTCTTCCAGGAGGAAAGTTTGGGAAAAAAAACGCCCCAGGGAAATGGGAAATAGCCTAAGGGATCTTGAAAACAGTGACACTTGCAAGAAATCCTTTGCTCAATTCCCAGGCCCAGCTAACTCAGTTACATATTAAACATCCCCAAAAGATTGATGCATGCTCCTATGTGAAAAATATTTCAGTATTTTAATTTATGGAAATTGTTATTTTTGATTTTTTCTCAAATACCGTAATTTTGAAAAATAGGAGCAAAATGTTTGTTGCCGGGACATGATGTAGAAAAGACCAATATATCATTCGTACCCTCAGTTTTTGTGTATTTCTTGCAGTAAAAAAGTTTGGAAAAAAAATGCCCCGGGCAAATGGAAAATAGCCTGAGGGATCTTGAAAACGGTGACACTTGCAGGAAATTCTAGGCTCAATTCCTGGCCCAGCTAACTCGGTTACATATTAAACGACACCAAAAGATTGATACATGCTCCTATCTGAAAAATATTTCAGTATTTTAATTGATGGAAATTGTCATTTTTGATTTTTTGACAAAAACGATCCTTTTGAAAAATACAAGCAAAATATTTGTTGCTCTGACAAGACATACAAAAGACGGATATATTATTCGTACCCTCAGTTTTTATGTATTTCTTGCAGTTAAAGAGTTTTGGAAAAAAATGCCCCGGGCAAATGGAAAATAGCCTGAGGGATCTTGAAAACGATGACACTTGCAGGAAATTCTAGGCTCAATTCTTGGCCCAGCTAACCCAGTTACATATTATACAACCCCAAAAGATTGATACATAACCCTATCTGAAAAATATTTCAATATTTAAATTTTTGAGAATTGTCATTTTTTATTTCTTGACAAATACCGTCCTTTTGAAAAATAGAAGCAAAAAGTTTGTTGCTGGGACATGACAAAGAAAAGACGAATATATTATTGGTACCCTCAGATTTTGTGTATTTCCTCCAGGAGAAAAGTTTGGAAAAAAACGCCCCAGGCAAATGGAAAATAGCCTGAGGGATCTTGTAAACAGTGACACTTGCAGGAAATTCTTTGCTCAATTCCTGGCCCAGATACCTCAGTAACATATTAAACAACCCCAAAGGATAGATAGTCATGCCCCTATCTGTAAAATATTTCAATATCTAAATTTTTTGGAAATTGTCATTTTTGATTTTTGACAAATACCGTCCTTTTGAAAAATAGGAGCAAAATGTTTGTTGCTCGGACATGATATAGAAAAGACGAATATATTATTCGTACCCTCAGTTTTTGTGTTTTTCTTCCAGGAGGAAAGTTTGGAAAAAAAGCCCCAGGCAAATGGAAAATAGCCTAAGGGATTTTGAAAACAGTGACACTTGCAGAAAATTCTTTGCTCAATTCCAGGCCCAGATAAGTCAGTTACATATTAACCCAAAACAGAACTTGGCCTAGATATTTACCTGATAAACCTGTATACCAAATTTCATTTCAGTATGTGCAACGGATGTGAAGAAAATGAACGGAAACTAAATGGACCGACAGACCGACCGACAGACCGACGGACAGCAGCAAAGCAATATGCCCTCCCTTCTTCGAAGGAGGGCATAACAACCCTAAAAGATTGATGCATGCTCCTACGTGAAAAATATTTGAATATTTCAATTTTTGGGAATTGTCATTTTTCATTTTTTGACAAATACCCTTTTAATCTTGCTAAATTTTATTTTTATAGAAAACCCAGCGTAATATAATTTATCAAATCATGGATATTATCGCATATGCATATTATCGACTCGGCCTTAAACAATTACAACAGTTACTATCAATCAATCAATATTTATTTAAAAACATAATTATACCAACAATCAAAGAAAAAAAGAAGAAGACCAAAACAAGGATTGAATCCTCGCATTGACATACAAATGCGTGTTTGTATTACTGACACAGACTTAAGATTTCATGTAAATATTTTATTCACCACAAATAATACATTATGCAGGTGGAAATAACCCTGACACACATGGTTTTTGCAATGAGTTTGCTTAAATTACAACACACTTTATTATAAACATTTACATTTTTCTGATGAATATACAAATAATTTATTGGGAATATGAATGTTTGTACTTAACTCTAAGTGTGCAGCATAGAGTTATAAATTTTTATATCAAATTATGCATAGCAGAAGTGACTGCAGCTTCAGATGGTGTTGTAGCTTGCTGATTTCCATATTGACCAATAAAGGAACCATCTTCATTAAATTTGGAGGGATCAACATCACCATATTCCTCCAAGCTGTCTTTATCACTTCCCATTGCTCTTTTGTCCATGTCATCAAATGAGTTTTCTGCCAACGGCTGCTTTTCTGAGCTGAAATAAAATCACAAATTTTAATGTCATTGTTCAGATCCACAGAGAGCAACACACACACACACACACACACACACACACACACACACACACACAGGTATTTGTATCCCTAAGCAAGACTTTAATCAGACAGACTACTAGGCCATCGGCCTAGAAAATTTACAAGGTCATTGGCCCATTACATATCTTCACAATTTGCATATTGTAGGTGCAATTTCAACAAGAGCCATTGGCCTTACTTGTACATTTAAACATTTCATCTTTGTTCAGTTTTGTATAATGATGTTATTTGTATGCATGTGTTTCTTGATGTTGCAACTTGTTATCATATTGTGCAATGGCTAAGTAGTTCCCAAAGGCAAAGAATAAAAGTAGAACTTGAACTGACTTGTTTTATTTATATAAATCAGTTATTGTGGCTTAATCTCAACCCCAGGAGTCATGAATTTAACAGATTTGACTCTACACATAAACCTATAAATGCTTTGTGGCATGAAAATTTGAAGAAAAATCAAAGGTAATCAAAGATTAAGAAGCTCACCTCGAAGAATGTTATCAGTTTAAGTAATGCAAATCTCACATCATATTTTTTCTACACAGTTTGTATTTATTCTGACAAGAATATTCAAGCAAGTTCTGTTTAAACAGGTATTAAAGTTTTTTGGGGATTGACCTGTTCCAAAAACTTTAACCTGGTCACTCGTCTGGAAAATGTAGGTCAGATCAAGCATGCCAAGCAAGTTTAGATTGTCCATCCTTAGATGCATCATCCATGCAAGTTAAATTGGTCCAGTTAGGGCTTATAGTTATTTGGGAAAGGACTTTATCCTGGTCACTCTGAAAAATGTAGGTCAGATCCAGCATTCGAAGCAAGTGTGGTAGTGTCCATCTCTAGATGCATCATCCATGCAAGTTTAGTCTGGGTAGGTCTTATAGTAACTTGGGAATGGATCTGCTCCCAAAACGTTAACCTGGTCACTCATCTTGAAAATGTAGGTCAGATCCAGCATCCGAAGCAAGTGTGGTAGTATTAGTTACATAGTCTTTTAGTGACAGGATACGGAATGATACCTGGTTAGTAAATTTCATACCTGGCGAGGCGGAGCCGAGTCAGGTATGAAATTTACTAACCAGGTATCATCCTGTACCCTGTCACTAAAAGACTGTGTAATGAATTTACCCCACCAATGAAACATTTACATTTTATCAGTGCTTTATAAACGATTTTCTCTGCTAAATGCTTCATCAAGCTTATACTGTGCCTATTATGACATCACGTTGTGTTAGTTGCCTAATACATCGACCGGGTATCGATTTACAACTGACCGGGTATAAGTAATCCACCGCCTTCACGTGACAGACTTAGCCAAGATTTTTTGGACAAATCAACAGAGGTGGGGTAATGTTCATCACCAGATGCATCATCCATGCAAGTTTGGTCTGGGTAGGTCTTATAGTTACTTGGGAATGGACCTGCTCCATAAACTTTAACCTGGTCACTTATCTGGAAAATGTAATTCAGATCCAGCATCCGAAGCAAGTCTGGTAGTGTTCATCCCGAGATGCATCATCCATGCAAGTTGGGTCCGGTAGGGCTTATAGTTACTTGGGAATGGACCTGCTCCAAAAACTTTAACCTGGTCACTCATCTGGAAAATGTAATTCAGATCCAGCATCCGAAGCAAGTCTGGTAGTGTCCACCCCTAGATGCATCATCAATGCAAGTTTAGTCTGGGTAGGGCTGATAGTTACTTGGGAATGGACCTGCTAGTAAAACTTTAACCGGGACGCCGATGCTAACGCCGAAATAATGTTCATTATTGAAATAAAGTTTTCAATAGTGATTGAAATATAGTTTTCAAAAGTGATCTGAATAATTCTTTTGATATTTGTTGATAATTAACCCATTATCTAAACCACATTGCAAGACTTATTGCAATAACTTAACTATTAAAAAGACACTGTGATGCACAAAGAGGAAAATTGACAATTAACGTAGAATTTTTGCAAGGCCCAAGTACATTTTGTTCAATTCCTAAAAGTACATGTATTAGGTTTCAGAAAATTACAGGTTACAGAAACTAAAATTCTATTTTTATAGGGAAAATTAAAAGTAATAATAATTTCAGTATGCCCCATAACGAAAATATTGCCTAACAATACGACATTTAACTCTGGACAAGATTTAGTGCAGACTTTTTACTACTATTTCTGATTATTATTCTTCCTGTCAGTTTGTCTCTACAAAACCCATACCCTACTATTAGTGCATAGTATTCTATAGATTTATATAGTGTAAGCATACTATGCCTAAATAGTGCATGGCTTCATTTTCTGAAGAAAACCCGACTGCACCCACGCCTGGAGTGAACTCACGACCCCGAGATTGTCAGTCCAACACGCTTTCAATTACGCCATAGACGCTGTTATCGTTATATCCGTAATATAATATACTGTAAACCAACTTTTATTCATGTGCGAGAAATTTTCGCGAAGTTTGAGAGATCCTAGTCATCGCGAAAATTTATCGCCGCGAACCTGTCCTTAAAGTGCGTGTGTCTATTAACAACAGATCAAAAAAGGCTTGATCGTGAAAATTAATTGTCGCAAACTAGTTTATCCTTGGTAAATCGCGAAATAAAGTCATCACGAATAAAAGTTGGTTTACAGTATATAAACTTAGTTTAAAATATTTTACCAATAAATAAGAACCAGAAGTCTCTGTCGAGACTGAAGCTCTACTGGTTTGTACTTATAGCAGAGGAAGAGAAAAGTACTTACGCAGTTGGAAATTGAAACTTTTCAACAGCAATAAATGGAATAATGATCCTTGATTAAGTCTCTTTATGTTCTTAGTGTAGTCTACTTGCATGCCACATTATATTATAATCAGACTAAAACTGTATTTGGAGTAGCATTTTAAGAATATTTAACAGAAATTTCTATTTTTAGTAACCATGGCAACACCATTCATTGAAGTGAAAAACTGATATACAGAATTATGTATCTACGTGTAGTCTACTTGTGTGCCAAGTTATATTGAAATCAGACCAAAACTGTAGGAGGAGTAGCATTTTGAAAGAATTTCACAGAAATTTCTAATTTTAGTAACCACAGCAACACCGTTCATCGAAATCAAAAACCGATACCCAGAATTGTAGTAGTGTAATCTACTTGTGTGCCAAGTTATGCTGAAATCAGACCAAAACTATAGGAGGATTAGCATTTTGAAACAATTTCACAGAAATTTCTATTTTTAGTAACAACAGCAACACCGTTCATCGAAATAAAAAACCGATATACAGAATTATGTATCTTAGTGTAGTCTACTTGTGTGCCAAGTTATATTGAAATCAGACCAAAACTATAGGAGAAGTAGCATTTTGAAAGAATTCCACAGAAATTTCTATTTTTAGTAACCACGGCAACACCGTTCATCGAAATCAAAAACCGATACACAGAATTATGTATCTTAGTGAAGTCTACTTGTGTGCCAAGTTATACTGAAATCAGACCAAAACTGTAGGAGGAGTAGCATTTTGAAAAATTGTTTACAGACGGACAGACAGACAGACAGACAGACGGACGGACGACGGACGCATTACTATCGCATAAGCTCTTCTGGTCTCTGACCAGTAGAGCTAAAAATAAACAAGATATTTTTTCTAAAATAATTTCTTGCTATTTTGCCCCCTTCACTCAACTATAATTCTCTAAAACTATATGTTCGTTATACCTTATGCTTGGATTATTCAAAATAAAACAGATTATGACGTATATGTAGCACAGCATGATGTCATAATAGGGGTGTGCTTACATAAAAATGTGAAAGGTGAGGAAACATTGGAAATGGAGAAAATTTTGACATTTTTATACAACAGTCAGCATAATAATAACAGTAGTTTTGTGTTTTGCGTGCACTATGCCAAAATAGTAGTCAGGGTTTGACACAATGTGCACAAGACCGAGGCTTGTGCACCATGTGTCAAACCCTGAGTACTATTTTGGCATAGTGCACACAAAACACAACACTGTTATATAATTATGATATCCAAAATATTTTTATATCACTTGGTGGGATTTCTTAGCAGTATTCCAGGGTCTCATATTGATCTCACAAACATCTCCACTTCTAAAGATATTGTAACGGGATAGGAGAAAATGCAGCGAACCAGACCGGGATTCAAACCCGGGCCCCCTGAAACTCCGGTCAGGTGCTCTACCAACTGATTTATCTGGCCACCGGCGATCGAACCCGGCTGACCGCCACATTCCTCCCTCCTTAAAGGTCTTTGGCCCTCCAAAGACCCCAACCCAGGCACATCCCTGGCAGGTCTTTCACCTGTCAATTCCAGGGCATGGCACGGCACCAAATGTAACGGGAGAGGAGAAAATGCAGCAGACCAGACCGGGATTGGAACCCGGGCCCCCTGAAACTCCGGTCAGGTGCTCTACCAAGTGAGCTATCTGGCCACCGGCGATCGAACCCGGCTGACCGCCACAATATGAAGTCCTAAAACTCAGAATCACTTTTGAAATCTATATTGTAATCACTGTTGAAATCTTTATTTCAAAAGTGAACATTATTTCAATAGTGGTTGCAATCTTTGTTTGGTATTGAAATGCACTCAACCACTATTGAAATAAGTATTTCAATAGTGGTCATATTTCAATAGCCGTTGTCACCTATGTTTGTTACTGAAAAGCACTCTCAACCACTATTGAAATAATTATGGAGAAATATATATATTAAATAATTAAAACTAGTGCTAATTGTAACGGGGACCGTTACAGATGTTCCCCAAACGCTCCCCAATTCCCTCTTTGTGCCAAATACCTGTAAGACATTTTTAAAAATATGATCAGTATCAAAGGATTATAAAAGCTACAATGACATCAATTATATGTCATTTAACGCATTGTACGCACACGCACGTGCATGCACATGCAAGATGATCATGGCATGATGTGAGAATAAATAAAAAAAATTCTTTACAATA